CTAGACACAGACGGATGGACATTTGTAAATTTACTCCAAATTGTCTGAAACGGATTTGGTCTAAAGAAATATATTTCTCTCAGGCACATTTACCGTTTCGAAGTCACAAGCCATAAAGCTGACGGTATAAAAATTATCAACATTGACTTTTGTTTCCGTGTAGATACAACGATATATAATAATATCCCAAACTATATGTTGTCTGTGGGCAGGACGTAGGTTTTACTCCGAAAGTTTTCTCTAATTATATAATATTTTATCTTAAACAGTCTTACCTTCTTCACGGTAGATATTCAAAATACAATTTAATAAATAGCTATAAATTGCTAGTCTTGATGGTCAAATTTCAATATTTTTAAGTCGCATCTGGCCTTCTGTCCTATGTGTCGTATTATTAACAGATATAAAAATTTCTAAATAACATTGTTTAAATATATTGAACATTTATTTAAAAAGCGGCATTTTCATAATAATTTAATCTGTTTTTCCATAATGGAATTGATACTTTTCTCTGCTTCTTTTGTTATTCATATTTACCAAGTGAAAAACAAATCTGTGACGCTCATGGCAAATACCTTTATCAGTTCTAATTTCTTCAAGTTTAATTATATATTTTTGTAATAAATAATTTACGATGAATTCAATGTCACCTCAAGACAATACGGAAGGGTGGGGGGACGACGACAGACTACAATGCGTTTGGCATGGCATCTCATCGTTATCACTACGCAGACGACCACTGACTCACACGTTCACTTTCAGAACAGAACAGATCCGAAACGAACAAAAACAAAAGATTTTCATTTCAACAACAGAGTTAAATCATCTCGAAGCAGAACAACAACAACAGCCACAAAATTATGAATACATTAACAACGAGGAGAATGATGTAATGCAACAAAATGTGCTTTTGGGTTCCTTGGCGCTTGGTGGTTATCTTGCAAACATTTCTAAAGACATGTGTAATTAGTTAGCCCGAATCAGGCGAGTGAGTGACTGGTTTCATTTAAAAACAAAAAACACAAATAAATTTACTCTAAATCTAACGGCAGCATGTGAAGTCAAGCGATGATGTTGCCTTGCTCTGTTGATGACAGAGCGGGAGTTTTAAGAGAGATAATTATTTTCTTATTTTTTGCAATAGATATCTCTGGCCCACAATACCACCGACCCCACCAGACGACTTCAAAGACATTTAAAGATTTCAATTTAGCCCAAGTTATCTTATCAATGTCTAAATCTTCATTTCACATTCCGTTGCTAAGAGTTGGTTAACATTTTTGTTGTTTGTTGTACGAAATGCCGCGTTGCTGCTTATTTTAAATGGAGTCTCAGTTGTGAATGCTCGCTCAGCTCTGCAGCATTGACTACAAGAGTAGTGAAATTAAAAACAAACGATTACAATAGGTTAATTATTTATGGTAAGGTTAGGTGGATTAATTGATTACCCTATTCAAAGTATCCCTAGTAAGTTAGAATGTATCAAATATTCGCAGAGCACTATGGACCAAGAATCCATTTTTTTTTTGCAAAAAGGAAATTTCAGATAGAGAGAAAAAACGTATATATTACAAATCTGGGGGCTTTGAGCTATACACCAGTAAAATTTTATATCATTGTGAGTTACGGTTTACAAATGACGTGAGGTCAAATTCAAAATTTCATATTTTTGTGAACATAATTTATATTTGAAAAATGTTATACAACATTGGCATATGTCAACGTAATAACATGAAATGACGGTCAATTAAACATATGGAACTGGTAAATTGTTAGTAACTTGAAGATAATCATCAAAAATTTTTTCAAAAATAATTTTAATAATTAATTTTTAAAAATGTTTAACGCCATTTTCGATCCACCCTGTTGCATTTTTTACTTTAATCATCGTGCTTTATATGTAGTATTTATTTCATTAACGCTCTGCTCTAATTTTGGCCAAAAAATGGGATCTCTGGCCCAAAGTGCAGAGCAAGACTATTAAATATTATACATGTGGATAGTGATTGAAGCACATAACACACTACTATCGATTGGGTGCAAATCGATTTTAGTTTTCAAGCCACAGCTTCGTTATAATTGTCTGGTTTACAATGAAAAATATCGAAGAAACTTCTATCTGTAAAGACCTCTTCTATTATTTATTTCATTAACGCTCTGCTCTAATTTTGGCCAAAAAATGGGATCTCTGGCCCAAAGTGCAGAGCAAGACTATTAAATATTATACATGTGGATAGTGATTGAAGCACATAACACACTACTATCGATTGGGTGCAAATCGATTTTAGTTTTCAAGCCACAGCTTCGTTATAATTGTCTGGTTTACAATGAAAAATATCGAAGAAACTTCTATCTGTAAAGACCTCTTCTATGCTTAGAAGAAATATATATATATGACAGAGGACGTATTTTATCCATCAAATACATATTTATGGTTTTGTAATCAAAAGTTCTTATATCGGACTTGATAGATTTGGCAAATATAATTTCTTTGACAATTTTTTTTCAAATCGGATTCCGATTTTTTATAACATCATTCCGTTCGCATGATATTATAATTTTTACCACAATTGTCACCATTTTGTGGCAAAGGTACCACAGAGGTGGAAAACATTTTTCATACATTTCAAGGACCCAATCTACAAAGAGAGACATTTTTGATTTGCTTATCATCCTTTTTGAGTTCATGTGAATTTTATAAGCTTAAGATAATTACGTTTGTGGAGGATGCCTAATTCAATAGAACGACGAGGATTGGCAATCCTAGCTTCCTTCAAGAAGCAGCGGTATTCTCAGGTGCGTGGGTTGCTTGGATTTATTTTTTAGCATCACTATCCTTAAAGCTCGACTTTTTTTTTATGGATTTCTGTATTACGGTCTGACTTTTTGGGCTATTTCTGCATATGGTCCGACAAGGCGCTTCACAAGGATTCAATTATCGTGAGCCAGTGAGGATGTGATTTCCGCGCAATGAACTTTGAAATGCCAACGGCTGTATGATTGACCATTATAATTGACATTATATTTCCACAAAAAAGATCAAAACTATAACAATTTGGGCCAGTCAAAAATTGTTGCAAGAAATACGGATTTAAAGTTTTGAAAAAGCGTCTTTGTACCGCCTTACCCTTTTTTCCTAAAATCGCTATTTTTCAAGACATGATTATGAAAATGAGGTGGGGTGTAGAGTGCCTCCATCTGTCATTAATAAAAAAAAAATTAAAATAACGGCTGAGATTGATTTGAGAATATCTATTTTCCCTTTCAAGACAAACCAATCACTGCATTTTTAATACCCCACAAAAAAGTCATCAAATTTAAAAAGGGTAGCTTTGTTGCTAAACCAAAACCCTGAATTGTTGTTGTTGTTGCTGCTGTTTACATTTGAATGAGGGTAACATTACCTTGCCATGCCTTCTCATTCGCAACATGTTGCGAGCTCACAGGCATTAACAACCAAAACAAACCATCGAACAACATTTGTGGATGTTATGTTGCTGTGGAGTGGTTGATGTAATGGAATCCGTTATGATGCATCGGAAACAGCTGATTTTTGTTTTGATTTTATAGGGAGTGCATTCCCTGTATGGTCGTGTGTGTGCGCTTACGGTTGTGTTCAACATAAAGTGGATTGTATCGCATGAATGGTGGCTGCGTACCAACATGTTGCTCCGTTTTATGTTGCGCATGTAACTGCATTCGTTCGTTCGCTGTGTACGAAGTGTGCTGGCGGCCCGAATGTAACTAAGCCAGAACACAAACAACAACACAGCTGTGCTTCAGCTGCCGCCGTCGCCTGCTCTATGTTTCAGACTCTTTGTTTTTGTTTACATGTTTTGAACGCATGGACGTTGAATGCGATGGCTGGATGATTTTCAATTTCAGTTTTTTGCTTGACTTCGTGTTTAACTGTTCGTACTGACGGTGGATTTATTTCATTTCAGAAAAACAAACAAACGGCTAAAATAATTCTCTGAGAGCCAGTCATTTACAATTACAAAAATTATTTACAAAAACAAAACAAAAAATAGAAGATTTTTGTCATTTTTTTTAATGTTGCTGTTGTGAACGGTAACAACAACAACGGTGTTATTGTTTTGGAATTTCGCAGCAAGTGTGAGTGCGTGAGTGCGTAAATGAATGAATTTGTGGTGGATGTGTGACGGTATTTTGACCCAGACCAGAAGTGAAAGATTACCGAATTCCAGTGGCAAATAATTTTGTCTTGGCCAAATTAGAATTTATGTGAAAGGAAAAGAAGAAGTCATTGATTGATTTATGGAAATGGCCTTTGAAAATTAAAAGAGAGAAAAGCTCTTGTGTGATTGTATATCGATATTTGTGCGTGTGTGTAAATGAACTTGAAAATTGGTGACCAACTACAAAAACTTCGTAAGTAATTGTAAGAAAAAAAACAAGTAAACAAAAATCCAAATGCGCGCATTTAGTGTAATCAAAGCCTCAAATTTGCATAAATTAAAATTCAAGTTCTTGTAAAGCGAAGGAGGAAATCTTTCGCAATCGTAGCTAAGTAGCAACAACAACATTATTCAAATCGCTAATAAATTTTTGTGTTGGCTGCTGTGTGTGTGGAAACGTTAGAAACGTGGTCGATCGGTCGGTCGTCGTTGTGCTAATAGAAGCCGCAAAGTTTATTTACCCGCAAAAATAAAGGTGCGTTTCTCGAAGTCATTTGGCAATTACATTCAAGTGGCTGGCTGTCTGTCATGTCAGAGGCAAAATTGTGTTTAATTTTCTTGTAAAAATTGTGACAACAAAAGAAGTGTTTTTGTTCCCAAATAATAAAAAATTCTTAATGAATTTAAAGTAAAGAAAAAATATCAAAAAAATATTTTAAACCAAACAAAAATAATAAAAGTGGTTCTTAAGTGCTTTTTATTAAAAGAGGTCATAAATTGTGTTAAAAAATTACTGAACCCAAAACAAACATAAACGAAAACAGCGACTTTTTCTTCCTGGACAGGATGAAAGCATTAAAGATGGACCAGCGACAACCAGCAGCAGCTGCGGTCGCAGCATCGTCTGCCCCATTAACTTCTTCATCGAAATCTTGGGATCATATGCCACGCAAACGTAGAAGATTCATGGGCCAAATGAATTTAATGTTATTGATATTTGTGGGCTGCTGTGGCAGTGCGATTTTATGGCCCCAGTTTAGTGTTGCCGCTGCATCGGATTCCTCATTGCAAGACTTTGGATCCGTTACAGCTAAAGGTGAGAACATATTTATGCTCGCCAGCAGCAGCAACAACAACGCCGCTGGTGATGATCTTGGCAATGCCTTTCCTGGCTCCATACAAGGTAAAGACGATGAATACGACGATGACGACAACGATGGCAATGGCGATGACAACAATCAAGGTGATGCAACTAATGGCGCAAAAATGCCACTAATGTCAAATGCCAGAAAAGAACAAGCATCGAACGAAGACATAGAAATGATGCAACGTTCACCACAAACTTCTAACATGCCAGTACCCTCAGATCACAAGCCACAATCGGAGAATAATCGTCATCTTAGATATCAGCAAATACAGCAAGCTCTACGCGAACCCATAACACCTTTGCCACCAAAACACTATCATCAGAGGCATCATCACCAGCATCACAACAACCGTCATCATCAGCAGCAGCAGCAACAACAACAGCATTATCGTCATCATGGCAGGCAGCACACTGCTGGGGAGAAGGAGGAACAGGAGGATGAATTTAAATGGCCCTTGCCACCACCTCGTTCCCGACAACATTACGAACATCATCAAAGGCAACAACATTTGCGCCATCACCAGCGACAACATTTGCATCACCATAGACGACATAATTTCACTGGAACCGCAACAACAACCAGCTCCACAACGACAACCACAACTATGAGACCCCGTTATTTTGATCGCGATGGTTTGTACAGCAATCCAATGGCCTGGTTACCACCAGCCACACAAGGGCCCCTGCACGAGGAAGCCGGAGAAGCAGCAGTGGAGGAAGATAAACCAAACAAACATTTGTATAATCCCCATAATCGTTTGTTCAGTGATGGTGGCGATGACCAGCAGAAACAAGAGGACAAGGAACAAGAATTTAAACGCATCTCTCTTTCGCTGGATGCCCAAAAGGATATCTCTGGCGGGGATAATGGTGAAAATATCTTGAAATTCGATGATGATTTGAATGCTGATGATGATGACGACGACTATTCCTATGAGGATGACCTCGAAGAGTTGAGTAGCCAGAAGAACAAGAGTCCACCAGCTTCAGGACCCAATGCTGCAAAAATTAATGTCAAACGTTATACGGCACCAATAAGAAATCCCTATAAACCATCATCTTCGGCCTCCTCCTATTCATCAAGGAAACGACCTCAACCATCATCCGTACATAATTCCTTTGATGAGGATTATGACAGCCAGGTTTCAAATGACAACCTGAACAACAACAACAGCGATGATGATGACGATTTCTCCGATGAGAAATGGAATAAAATTGAACATGAACACTATCGCAAACAGCAACAGCATCAAAGAGCTATGCAGGCATTACGTTCCCGACGTCCATTCACAGGATCCCCAACAATGGATAATTCCCCCAACAACAGCAACAAGAACAACAAATATTCATCATCCTCAGCATCATCATCGGTACTTTCCAAATCAACAGCATCAGCAAAGCGTCCAGTTTTAAATGAGGTAAGAAACGACGATGATTTATCTATAGCTCACCCCCGTTTTGCTTTTTTTTGTTCTCCCCTGATGATCTGATGGCCTTATCAGTTACAGTTCACAAAAAGTGTCATTTGTTCTCTCTCCGTCGCTGTCCGTTTCTCCCTCTGTGCCCTATTTGTTAATTTAAAACAGCAGACAACAACACAAAAACTATTTACAATGAAAAAAAGCAAAGCACTTGTGTTTATTTAGCGTTTAAACGTACAATGACAATGCTCCACCAATCGCTTTGTAATTCCACCTCCAACAACAAAAACAACATCGCCAATACTAGAGGAACTGTTTTATAGTTTACATAGCATTAACCCCATGATACACTTGGAAAAATTGAATGTTCCGCAATGTGAATGAAAGTTTAGTTTGATTGACATCTATCTCGGACATGTTGTTTGGACTCGGTGTCAATTTAGCCATGTCCATATGTCCGTCTGTTAAAATCTCGCAGCAGATCGCATTATTAAAAATAGAGCTCTGAAATTTTGCACAGAAATTTTTAATACATCTATGACGTTTGGTGTTGCAAATATTCGGCATATTGGGCTCGTTTTTCAAGCAAATCAATTTAATTTTATATTTTGTATTATCATTGGGGGTAAAATTTAACTACCACAATTATTAAACATACTTTCCAAGCTTCACGATGCATTTTTGGTATTTTCAAGGTCCAAGCACAGACTCCCAGGTCTGTAGCTTGATATTTCGTTTTCTCCTGAAGCTCCGATAAATTTTAGATATGAATGTCTACCTAAGGGTAGGAAATGTTCGGTCCGGCCAAACTTAACGACGTTTTTTATACCCCCAGCTGGCACTTTGATATGCAAAAATGTACCTCATCAAAATATTCGTTTTAGACCAAATAGTTTGAACCAAAATAGTTTCAGATAATTTGTCGATTTACAAATGTCCGTTCGTCCGTCTGTCTGTCTGTTCGGCTGGTGCGTACGATAACTCTCAAAGGAAGTAACCGATTTCATCCCAACTTTGCACATCGTAACATTTCAACCAAACGTAGTTCAAGTTCGAAGATGGGGAATATCAGCCCACTCCTGCTGGTACACCCCCACAAAATGGCCAAATTGTGCTAACAAAATGTTAACCAAACTTTGTACAACCTATTATCTTTACCAAGCTTAGATCAAGTCCGAAGTTGGGACCCATTTGTCCACTCCTTTTTCAAAACAAAACGATAGCCATATCAAATAAAGTTAAGTATCTGGGAGTAATTATAGACGGGAAACTCATATGGAAAAACCACATACAGCAAAGGGCTGACAAGGCCCATAGATGCTGGTCTTTCTGTATAAGAACCGTAGGCTCTAAATGAGTTTTCAATCCTAAGATGATACACTGGTGAACAGCGGACAACACCAACTAGGGCTTTGGAGACAATACTATATATCAGGAGGTGCAGAGCGTGTGTGGAAGACAGTGAAACGCTGGAACATTTCCTTTGCCATTGCCCAGCTTTTACCAGCCTTCGGAAACAATTCTTCGGAAATGACACTATTCACGAACTAACCGATCTGAGGGGGTGGGAATCGAGAAGGAGTTCTCAAAAAAAAAAAAAAAAAAAAAAAATCCTAGAATCTTTCTTTCCCTAATTCTCCGCATTTCTAGAGCTCACAACAGACCTCAACTGGCTTATATGTATGTCCTTCCTTTGTTGGAAGGACATACGCATAAGCCTTCTTTTCAACTTAACCTAAGACTAGATGAAATCTGAAGATGCGAATGCAAAATCTATTTACCAAGCCTAGATTAAGTCCGAAGATGGGACCCATTGATCCTCTCAAAGCCGACTGACACTTTTTGACTTGTACTTGTCATGAACAAGCTTTGGACAATACGTTTTTCATATGGGAGCTGAATGCTTTCCTATAAGAACCTAATGTGGGGAATTTTTCATAGACCATCTGTAGCTGGAAATCTTACATAGATGATCTGTAGCAAGGAGTATCCACAACCTGTGCTGCCTACTGTGATAGGCGACCAAAGCAGATAGGAAAAATTTTAAAGATGGATTGAAGAGAGAGTATGTTAGACGAACTGAGAAGATATGTTATATTTCATAGATGAGCTGATGCCGTCCTGGGTCTAAAAAGAAATGTATAGACGAAAAGCAGGAATTGATGAATGTACCCACCGTTTTCGAATAATCATTAAATAAGTTGAATATTTCAGAAATGTTGACAGGTTATTGGAGTGTGCTGACCTTAAGGCTTACTGAGTATTTCTGATTCCTGATTCTGATATCCTTAAAATTATAACTTAAAAATATCTCGTAAGTTTTGTTTTAGTTTCCGAAGGAGCATCCCTGTAAACCTTTTTTTTAGTAATATGTATATTTTTATAACAGCATTAGAATATTTCTCAGCATTTTTTTATTTATTAAAATTTACCAATAATTTCCCTCGGTGTATAATGATGCCCCCCGTAATGCACTTTCCACGTGAATCTCGTGCTGCTGCTGCTTCTGCTTTGACAATAAATTGCGTGGATAGGTTTTTTTTATTGGAATAATGTGATGATGGCTATACGACAGATCATCAGCGGGCTATATAACCAGCCAGGCAGCCACCCAACCAAACCTTCCAACCAGGCATTCATCTATCTATCCAACCACTTACTCATCATACATCTCCGACTGTGAATTCGTCATCTACAATTCCAGATAGATACATTGTTCGTTCAACAGGAGATGGATGGATGGTTGGCTGGCTGACTGACTGGATTGGATGTGTGAATGCCGTGCTAAAGGTTGATGCGCATTTTGTTGTTGCTATTATTTTATTCATTGGTCATGTGGTTGTTGTTGTTGTTGCTGTTCGGTTCGTTTTATTCTAGGCATTTTATGTTCGTTCTGTTTTATTGTTGTTTCCACTTCCATTGTTTTTTGTTTTATTTTATTCGATTTCAGTTTTGTGGTCTATAGTAATTTGTTTAATCATTAATTCTTTTTCATCCAACTGGATTTTTATTGTGGTCTTTGTTTTTTATTCTTTTTGTTGTTGTTGCAATTACTATTAAATAATTGATGAAAGGGTATCATTTGTTGTGCTGCATATGATTGAATGTAACGCTGATAGGGGAGACAGACGTACATGTGGAATCTAATTCACAATACAAGAATTGGTAATGTTGATCCCATGGCAAAATATGAAACGCATATGAAATGTTGGCGGCTATGAACAATATATTGATCGGAAATTAATTTGTTATCATAAAATGGAAATCAGGTTAGAGGAAATTACCCAGAATTCTGTTTCCTCCATGGAAAAAAACGATTTTTGTTATTTGTAACCAATTACACAGTGACACATTTTTCAACTTTAAAATCTTGAACCAATCGAGACCCCCAAAATCTTGAAGCTTGTGATGGTGGAAGAAAATCCCTAGCTGGGTTTTGCATTATTAGCTAAGGTTTTTTTTTAAATTCATTTTTAAAATATTCGACTGGGGCGGATTTTAGCACAATTTTTGAATAATACGTACTTATTATTGAGTCTATATCTCGTGAACTATTCGAAATATTGCTTTTCTCTCTTAAGCAATATTTTTCCTCTTAATTAGATCTAAAAATTTTCTCTTGAGATAAAACCAATAAAACAACACCATCATACTGAAAATAGCACAACTGCAAAAAATTAAAATTTAGACATACTTTTTCCATGTTTTTCACACTTTTTCAGAAACTGCTACTGACTCGGCCAAACAGTATATGACAAGAAGATAGCCAATAGCAAATCAAACAACTTTTTTTAAAACCCCGATTTCATTGGTTGACTCCTTCACATAGTTATAGCCTCACAAATTCATCAAGATGAACCAAAGAAATTCACTCCCAATTGTATGTTTATAAAAATAAAAATTGCTATGCTTTTTTCAATAAATAGGTACAAAATTGAAGTAAAAATTAAACATGGAAAAAGTATGTCGAAGTTTTAATTTTTTTGCAGTTGTGCTATTTTCAGTATGATGGTGTTGTTTCATTGATTTTATCTCAAGAGAAAATTTTTAGATCTAATTAAGAGGAAAAATATTTCTTAAGAGAGAAAAGCAATATTTCAAATAGTTCACGAGATATAGACTCAATAATACGTACGTATTATTTGAAAATTGTGCTAATTTTAAAAATTAATTTAAAAAAAAACCTTAGCTAATAATGCTAAACCCAGCTAGGGACTTTCTTCCACCATAACAAGCTTCAAGATTTTGGGGGTCTCGATTGGTTCAAGATTTTAGTGCTGCACAGTGTTATTGCACGAATGAATAGTCAGTTGCTTAGAAACTCTAATAATAAAACAAAGACTTTTTGAAATTAAATTTATGATGACTATCATAAAAAAATAACTAAAACGGAATGACTCTGGGGCATTGACTTCGACCAGTTGAGAGAATTTCAATTGTATAACGAGTTTTTCTTTTTTGTACTAATTTCCTGCTATAAAACCTTTTTTCGAATTATAACAACAATAGTAGTGTTATATAAGTAAAAATCGGAATTTTATTACCACCCAATTATGATATCATAAAATGGGAAAATACCTTTCTTTTGACTGATGACGACTACCACCATACCATTGATTATAGTTTTATGATACGATTAAACGTTTTATTTTATTGCATTTGTTTGGGGTTTAGAATCCCAAAATTAGTTTCACTGGAAAATGCATTAAGCTAGATTATAACTTCAGGAAGTGTTCGGAGATTTATCATTAATGAGGTGAGAATTAAAAAAGGGGGTTGTTAAAAGGAAAAACTTTTCATTATTTCTTATTGAGATTGATTTCAAATTCAAGGATCCTCCATTGACCAATTTCTAATTACAAATCCCCACATTGGGACAAAATTTTCAATATTTATAAATCCAATATCAGACGAATGGAATTTTCGATTCCATCCAAAGTCTTTACCAAGACTAGATGAAGACCAAATATGGGATCCGTTTGCCCTCTCCTCTGGCA